GTTACTAATGTTGAGGTACTTCGTCGAACGTGTAAACAAAAAGAATTACTAAGAATAATCAAAGAGAAGAAAATGCAATGCTTGGGGCATGTGTTGAGAGGCAAAAATATGAATTACTTTAAGTTATACTGGAAGACAAGGTACAAGGCAAAAGATCAGTAGGAAGACGCCAGAACTCATGGCTGAAAGACCTGAGGAGATGGTTCGACCGCTCATCCGCAGAAATCTTTTGCGCAGCAGTTTCCAAAACCACAATTGCCATTTGGATCGCCAACCTTCGAAAGGAGACGGCACCATGAGTAGAAGGTATATACCTTTTATCTATACCTATACCTTTTATCTCTTTTGCGGCTATGGAGATACCAGCCAGTTCTGTCTGAACTATGCTGGCATTTTTGCCCATACCGCACTATATTCTTAGTGTCAGTGATCTGGAGTATATCCCGCATCCTGAGCCTTCTTCCATTTTGGTGCCATCGGTGTATACATATGCATGCAATAGGCATTTGTCACCCTTGACTCCATATACTGTCTTGTTTCTATATTGTAGGGTTTGTCAAAGACAAAGCTTTGACTGTAGCAAAAACGCAGACTGGCTTGTAGCAGTGGTAGCGCATCCAGCACTTCCCCCAGAAACGAGTTCTCAATTGCCCCATTCCTACATCAAGGTTTGCACCAGCCGAGCGCAATCGCAACCTTTTCCACATCTTTGACATATACGTCTAGAGGGTGATGATTAGCTTCATTGCAGTAGTAGGTTTTGTTTTCATTATCATGAGAATTATTCTTTTATTCTATAATATTGAATATCACACTTGATTGTACTTGGACGAGCGGAATATTCGACCACTTCCTTTAACACCGTCTATACAATTCTCAATGGGATTTCGCCTAGGATTGCTGGCGGCCCTCTCTTAGTAAGTAGTCATTTACTTGTCCATATAGGTGTATTTGAACAAATAAAAAATTCGGGGCGACAAAAGTATATTATTCTAATATAGTGAATGAGAGTAGATCACAAATTGCTTAAATTAAAAAAATAATAAGAAATAGAATAAAATGAAATATAAATAACGAGTTTTGAATGTCATGCGTGCTTTTATATAGTATGGTGTGTTTAGTAAAATAAACTAAACATACGGTTCTGAAGCTATTATTTTTTGAAATTTTACTTTTTAATTATTATAATTTTTGCAGATTAACCAGAATACAATTACACCTCGGAATTTGAAATACAATTAGAAATCATTCATTTGACGTTTCGACTTTCAGCTTGAAAATTGTTTGTAAAATACTCTTTGAACAATTTTTTTTTGTTTCTAGAAGTAAAACTCTTCTAATAGTTTAATTTTATTTGCCTCGCTCACATCGGCAATATGGACATACTAGAGAGAGATATTTCTGAAGCGACATTATTGAATGGTTCATGTGATTAAATGAAATTAACTCATGCCATTATCATCAAAATTATTCAAACCACAAAAGATGATTTACAATCTACCCGCAAACCTAACAAAATCATACAAACCTATCTCCCTAACCTGTTCATTATGTAAACTGTTCGCGAAAATTATTAATTCAAGATTAACATGGCTTCTTGAAAAATATGCAATACCTGACGCAGCACAATACTACTACAAACACAAATAGCTTCTGCTCTTTAAAATAAACAAGATCTGATCGCTACTGTCTTTCATATAGAAGGAGCTTTGGATATTATTTTGCAGTCAGCCATTCTTCAAAAGCTTCATCAATACAAGATAACAATAAATATTTACTCCTTCATAAAAACATTTTTACAACAAAGAACGTTTAAAGTGAAAACAAATAGTGAAATTTCAGACACATACGGGAAAAATAATGGAGTCCACAAGGTTCTGTACTCAGTAAACACTGTTCATTCTTGCAATAAATGATATTTGTTCGAGTACTTGTCTACGAGGTCAAAAAAAGCTGGATTAAACTTCTTTCAAACACTAAATATCTTTCAAACACTAAATCGAAATAAATACGGTTTAGCAGAAGACCTTGCAGACAAAGTCCAATTATCATGCTTAACGGAACTCCATTGCAACCCGTTACTCATAACAAAATACTCGGTTTAACTTTTGATAGTAGGCTAACTTGGAAACAGCCTATTAGTGTAGTAAAGGACAATCCAATGAAGAGACTTAATATCATCAAGGCACTATCACATTACACATGTGAGACAAAAGCATCTTACTTAATGTACAAAGAGCTGTAATTCGCTCAAAACTGGACTACGGCAGATTCATATACATGTTTGTAATCAAAATCTGACTTTGAACTACTGAAGTCTGTGCATAACAAACACTTCCATTCGTCTTTGCTTAGGCGCTTTCAAATCTAGTCCCGTAGACAGCCTTTACTGCGAGACTAATGAACCACCTCTCTGGATTCAACGGGAGTATCTTTTACAATCATACTTTGCTTCCGTATTCATAAATCCATCCAATCTAGTTTATCGTTTAATTACTCCAACATCGCCTCCGGAGACCCCGCAAAGGATGCAATCAATAACAGACATCCAGATATTAACTCTAAGAAATATTATCGACCTTACTAAAACACATCTCCTCCTTGGAATAGACCAATTCCATATTCAGCAATTCTCTTTTAGCATAGAGTAAACACAAATGCTTTGAAATACAACTCTGTGCTCTGATTATCGAAGACTGAGCCTCATAAGTCATACTTTAAAAGTTCTGCTAAAAATTAATACATAATTATTTTAGGGATATTAGCGAAACGCAGCGCAGTTCGGATTGCGAAATGGAATGCGTACTCGAGAAGGACTATTTGCCATCAACATTCAGCGATGTCGGGATAGAAATGTTGATCTACATTTGTGCTTCGTTGACTACGAAAAAGCTTTCGATAAAGTAGACATGAAAAACTAATATCAATACTTATGAACAAGCGCATTGATAGTAAAATCATAAATATAGTGCAAACATTATATTGGAACCAAAGTGCCATAGTTCAAATTGATGGGCAACACTCAGAAGAAATGAGAATCTGTAGAGGAGTTAGACAGGGATGTGTTTTATCACCACTTTTGTTTAACTTATATTCTGAAGAAATTTTTCAAAACACGCTCAATAATATCGAAGCGGGAGTCACCGTTAACGGAAAATTAATTAACAACTTAAGATATGCAGACGACACTGTGATCATAGCAACGAGTATAGAGGATCTACAACATCTTATCGAAAGCTTGAGTATGAATAGTGCTGAGATGGGAATTACTATAAACGCTAAAAAAACGAAGTACATGCTAATTACAAAAAGACCACAAAATATACATCACCTATTGACAATCAATGGTAACGTGATAAAACAAGTAGAAAAATATCAGTACATTGGACATTAAAAAAATATAATTTAAAAAGAATCGAGGCCTTCGAACTCTGGTTATACCGCAGAGTATTGAAAATATCATGGACTGATAGAATTACAAATAAAGAAGTACTGGAGAGGGTTGGTAAGGAAACAGAACTGATCACCCCTATACAAACCAGAAAACTGGAATACCTAGGCCACGTGATGGGGGGACCGAAATATGAAATCTTCAGACTCATAATACAGGGAAAGATTCAAGGAAGAAGATCTGTTGGCCGAAGGCAGAACTCATGGTTAAAGAATCTACGTGATTGGTATGAATGCAGATCGATTGATTTGTTTAGAGCAGCAAGTTCTAAACTAAAAATCGCCAATATGATTGCAAACCTCCGTAGGGAGACGGCACTCTAAGAAGAAGAAACACAAATCCTTAAGCCTTCTCATAAAGCAAAGCTTCGAAGAAATCATAACCAGGAACAACTTCAAAAAATTTTGTATACAGATGCCTCCAAAAGCGTTGGATGTGCCGTTACAAGTGATAAAATAGTAGAATCATATTTATTACCAAATTTATGCAGCGTATACTCTATGTGATACTGGAAACTTTTAAAAACCTAAAATCTTATGATAAGAACCAAGGAATATGCACAGACTCCCTTTATTCGCTACACTCAATAAAAAGTCTATACGGTCAGCATCCCTTAGTTCAAGAAATCCATAGGTCTTACGGTATACTCGCTTCTCAAGGTGTAAATGTTACTATGATTTGGCTACCATCCCATATCGGCATCCCCGGTAATGAAAAGGCAGACCAAGCAGGCAAGCAAGCTTCTTGTGTAAACAGTGAACACTCTAAAGCCCAACATATTCAAATGCGTAATGAACTAAAGCAAATGGTCAAGCTTCAGTATCAATGTTCAGTATCATACCTGGCAAACCCACTGGAACACAATCAAGAGATTGTTCATTACAAGAGATCCGGCAGACTGTTGAAAAATTTGAACTTCCAACAATCTCCAGAAAAGAAAAAAGCTGCCATCCAAAGATTAAGAATTGAACATAACCGATTCACACATGACTATTTAATGAAGTCCGAGCCGAGGACCAATTGCCAAATCTGCTTAAGTGTATTAACTGTGAAACATATTCTCACAGAATTTGACTTTAATTTACAACTCAATGATCAAACATATATTTAGTTTTAATTTAAAACTTCTGCAGCAATTAGTAATAAATCTTTATTGTAATTAATGTACATAATGGTCATTGCAGTCGAGACCCATTATTTAGTAATATTTAAATGTGATGTTTCCTGTAAAAGATGGTAATTTTACATATGTGGAAGATTAACACTAAAATCGTCATTATGAATAAGCAGGATAAAATTAAACTATTAGAAGCATTTTATTTCAACGTAACAAAAAATAAAACCATTTAAATTTTTCAAAAAACTGTATTTTGAATTCGGTTTCAGAATTGAAAGTAGAAACGCCAAATAAATTATTTCTCATTGCATTTGGGTTAAATTTCCAAAACTTATATTAATTAAAAAGTAAACGTATTATGAAATATCTATATATTTAAAACATACATCTCTGACCGAAACTACACTTTACAAAACATAACACTGAACTTACTATCGGCAACAATCAGGCAATCCGCAGGGATGTATCTGTTGGTCCCTGCTGCACTTTGTACCAATGATCTACCTGAAACAGGAAAGATAACTTGCTACATATACGGACCGATGTTACTAGGGAAACTGCCAATATCTCACTTGAAATAAGACCTATTCACCCACCATACGCACAAAATTACAGTTCACATTATTAAGATATTCCAGACAACACTCTCAATTACTATTGGTGATAAAATACCGTTGCTGTTGCAATCAATTTCACGTATTCATATATAGGTTTTAAACAAAATTAATAAACAATATAAATGATATGTTACTAACCAGTTTAGGACAAACTTTTCGATTGTTCTCATTGTCAATATCCGATTTTCTCTTTTTCTTCTTCGCTGAAATAGACTCTTGGCCGCTGTCTTCGTCATCAGAGTTGGAACTGTCCGATTCTGAGCTTGAGCTAGAAGATGAGTTACTGGAACTATCTGAGGCTATCCCAGAGGGTTTTTCTAAATTAATCCTAATAGCCAAAGCAGCAAGATTTGGTTCCTTCTCGGTTAATGTCTTTAGCCATTTTTGAGATAATTTGGGTCTTCCTCTAGCCGTTTTATGCCATACGACTGGGAAATTTGTTCGACTACAGAAGTTTTGCGTTACGGCTATAGTTGTATCTAGATTTAATACTACGTGCCACCATCCGCCTGGAACAAAAACAGTTTCACCGGGACCTTGTAAAATTTCGATTGGTTTACAGTTCTGTGGCCAAGTTGGTTTTTGCGTTTTTGGATATATTAAATCAAACCATGTGATTGCTTCGTCACGTTGCTTTCCACCAGCTTGAAGTGTTACTTTTAGTATTTCTTTTGGAGTATGCGTTGGAAACAGACACCACCTGCAAATAAAATTTCCTATAAATACTATTAAGCAACAATACAACAAATAGAATATTTATACCATCTTCGGTTACCAAGGCTGGCTATTATGGGAGCAATTTTAACTCTTCAGTTCTATCCAACTCGGAACAGTTGGATAGAACTGCAAGCGAACCATTCTCTTAGTTTTCTCAACCAAGACATCTTTCTGCTCTCTATGCTGCGCTTACCCCGAGCTTTCCTTGCATAATCAAATGTAATCGTTGATATTTATCTCTACGTGTAAAATATTCCAAATGCTGTATTTCTCCGTTTTAATTATCTCTCTCTGTGCTCTCTTTTCATTTTTTTCACCCTTTGAGGTACTTCTTAGTTGGTTATTTTATCCTACCAATAGATTTTCAAGATCTTTTGGTAACCCCATAATACAAATGCTTCTAAACCATACACTAGTGGAGAGAAATTGTCAAGCTAAAATATCTGTCAGCGGTATATGTAAAGCTTGGAAGAGTCGATTTTGTATTTCAGTTCTCATCTTTTTTGCAACAAATTAATTTTTACCCCTATTACCTTAAGACTTCTCATTATACTACTTTAGTTAAACTATACCATATCATATGAAACTTAAATGTACTCCATACCGAATATGAAAAAAGGAAAAATTCTTATCCAACACTTCATTATTTATTTACCGTAATGTTATGTTCGAATGTCTTTTTTCGAAAGGAGTTTTCCACCGATTGTGAACGATGATATCTTTACACAGCTGCCTGCATGGTATTCTCAGGCTCAAGCCTAATGACGTACTGATATTGAGTAACAATTAGAGAACTTATCTTCTATTAAAAAAGACATTACTAAATAATCGGAAATATATATTCAAAATCGAATCTCGTATTAGCATTTACCGCCAGAACTCGTGATACTGTCCACATTTTATAGACGTTTAGCGTTTTCTGCATGATTTATGACTGGTTACAAAAAATGCTTATTTTTGACGTCACAAACCCATTGGCCCATTCTCATTCAATTTAGTGATAAAACTGATAAGATTTTACTACAGATATACCAACAAAATTAGAGAAATGATAACCACACGTTTACGAGTGCCTAAAATTTCCAGTTTAGAAAAAGTGTTCTTAGTTTATGTTGGAGCGTTTATGTGTTGTTCTTTTCATCACTCGAGGAAGTAAATAGTTAGTCAAATAGTTCAATAAGGCAGTTCTCATGTCCTATGATAATAACTTTGATATGTAAATTTTTGATATGTTTCTCAAGTATCTGAACAACGAATAGCAGATTAACACCGGGTAATTATAAGAAATAATCCTATCCCCGAGACCATCATAAGCGAAGTCGAACGGGAGATTTACAACCAAGAGCTAGTTGTAGATCAAGTCCCTAATGAAATCCCTAATGAACAGACTCCTGAGCCTCTCATATTAGAAACTTGACCTGTTAATACGCAGCAGGACAACAACGAGTTGCACGATAGCCTAGTAAGTGAAATACCACATGCCGTACAAGAGTTTAATGGGACAAACCCTCTTAGCAGACCACCGCTACCAAAAATAAACTCTTGTAAGAGTTTATTTTTGCTCTACTACTAGGTGCTCTATTACAAATTGTCAACACTGAAGTCCTACTTAATTATGTCGTGGAAGCCCATACATTGGAATATTTGCATATGTTGATTTACTGTACAGCAACTGCTAATGTTATGGGCATTAAGATCAGAACACAACGGGGTAGTAATATCGGAAGGACTGAAAACAGAATTGCATCCTGGGAAAAAAGACTGCTCAGGAAAATTGAATTCTTGCGTAATGATGTTGGGCAAATTACGGAATACATTCGATGAGTAAAAACTTGAAAAGTAGTTAAAAGAGCTGAAGAAATAATTCTGAACACTCCCAGACACTCACAAGATGATCCAGAAAACAACACAGCTCAACACTGCCTGGACACATTAAAACAAAAACTCTTCGTTTATTCAGGTCGCTTAAGGAAATACAAAAGTTAGTAACAACCGGAAATGCGACAATATACTTTTTGAGCATGCAGAGAAGGCTTTCTATAGGAAACTAAATGCCAGCGTAGAATATGAAAATAAATCCTACCCAAACCAAGAAGAAATTCATGAGTTTTGGAGAAACCAACGTTCGACGCCAGCTACTAAAACAACAATTCTGCATGGATTAAAGAAACAACGAAGAACTGTCAACACTACAGTAATATTCCCTACGAACCTTTCGCCACTGTATAAGTCTCGAACATTATCAAAGTGCTTCATAACTGGAAATCTCCTGGACCAGACGGAGTCCCAAAACTTCTGGTTAAAGGAGTTTTGAGTGTACACGAGCTTTTAACAGTATTAATTAATCATGTTATTTTTAATCCGCAGAAAATACCACCATTTCTTACTCAGGGAACCACTTACCTAATACCGAAGGATCAAAATATCACCCAAGATCCAGCCAAGTACCGCCCAATTACTTGCCTTCCAACTTTGTACAAATTGGTCACATCCTGTGTAGCCCCACGTATCTACCAACACTGTTCTTTAAACGGGCTACAAAGAACAACTTATAATCGACTCAGTCATTTCCAACCAGGCGTACACCAAAAATAGAAACCTTTTCACAGCCTTCATTGACTACAAGAAGGCCTTTGATTCAGTACCGCATGAATGGCTTATAGATATATTGAAAATATATAAAGTTGATGATAATATAGTGACCTTTTTAAAGCATATAATGGCCGAATGGAAGACTACAATTCACCTTCAAATACCCGGTGAAAACAACATCGAAACTGAAGAAGTCAGAGGAAAGGTTCAGCCCGGAGGTTTCGATATGCAAGATGGCACAAAACATTGAGACAATGGGTGAAAATGATATGTACAAATATTGCGGAGTAAAGCAAGCGCGGAAAATCGACCATAAACAAATGAAAACCGAACTAACTTCGGAGTTCGTACGAAGAGTAAGACAACTAAATCGGTCATATCTTAATAGTAAAAATTTGTTTAAGGCATTAAATACGTACGCTTGTTCCGCGCTGAGCTACTCATAGATGAGCAACTGCATAAACAGATTACTAATTTAAGAACTTATTTTCAGGTACAGGCTGAGACATCTACTTTACATCGAGCAATTTGCGCAGTAGATGATACAACGCCGCTTAAACTGAGGGAACAAGAAATGCGCACAAACCATCTAACTAAGCAAGAAAAAATGTGCAAATGGATGGGTAAATCTCTGCATGGGCGACATCTCAATGAGATCAGCCAAGAATATGTCGACAATACAGCGTCGAACTATTGGTTGACATAAGGAGAGATGTTTTCGGAGACAGAGTTTCCTACTCGCCATTCAGGATCTAAATTACCTGAAATATATAGATATTTACAGAACTAAAAATTACCTGAAATATATTGTTAAAGATCCCAAGTCCAAAAAGACAAATGCCGATACGGATGCCAAGCCCAAGAAACCATCCACCATCTTACCGGTGGCTGCCAGGCATTTTTCGGTACTGATTATAAAGAACGTCATGATTCAGTAGGAAAGATTATCCACCAAGAACTAAGTCACAAATTGGGACTTCTCCAAACCTTCCTTAATCTTCCTTATTATCAATACGTCCCTGACGTATCCACTTCGGGCCTGCGTGTTTCTTCATGTCATCTGACCATCTTATTTGTGACCTTTCTCTTTTTCGTTTGTAACTATATGGTCTCCAGTGTATAATCATCTTATTCCATCTGTCGTCTTTCTGTCTTATGGTATGTCCAGCGAAACTTCCACTTAAGCTTTGTTATCTGAGTTGATACATCGGTCAGTTTTGTTTCGTTGCGGATCCAAGTATTTCTTTCCTTGTCTGATCTCATACTAGTTAATAAAATTACTAGGCAAACAACACTTATTGATGTGGCGATACCCAACACCAATAATTTACGTCTTAAATACAACGAAAAGATCACCAAGTACAGAGATCTAGAAATACAAATCAGGCGACAATGGAGAATGGAAAGTACCCAGACAATACCCATTATTCTATCTACTACTGCTTTTATTCCCAAAAACCTCCTAGAGAACATAAAACAGCTGGGTCTAAATAAACATCTCTATAAGGCCATGCAGAAAGCTGTACTCCTCCCGACGTCCAGATCTGTACGAATATTTTTGGAAGATACTCCAACATACCAAGTCACCTAGAGCTCGATAACACAGAATGAGTCCCACCAGAGCTTAATCCTTTTGATACCTTAGGTATGTGGGATAAGTGAATTTTCCCCTTAGAGGGAGTGTGAACCGTATGGCTAAATCTGGTTTGATATGTTTAATACAATATTTATCTACTTACCTTATTCGAATATTTTCCTGGATATTTTAGATGTATATTTTGTGATATTTATGATTTTAATATTTTTAAATACAGTTTGATATAGAGAGTGAATATTTTTCACTATCTATATCACCTTTTTTATTGTAATAATATTCGAATACTTTCTCTTTGATTCGTGAATATCCCATTTCTGTCTTTTTTTGTAGTTTGGTTTCTTTTCTTTTTTACCTTTCTCACCTCTCAGAACGACCCCGTCCACGATCTACCCGGACTGAGCAACGGTGCCTTAAAGCATATTGTGTACTGGTGTTTTCAAGTTAATTCATTTAATTAAGGTTTATTTAATTAAGATTTTCAAGAAGTTAATTCTTCCAAATCTAGATCACGAGATATGGTACAAGTTTAACCTTGTGTAGACACTGCTTTGTTCTCCCTATTTCGTCAGTTTCATCATATGCATTTTTCCCAAACTTATATCCTTTTAATTGTCTATTTGTCTCGTCGAGACTGTTTGTTGGGTTTTTATTTCTATTATTTTCTCTGCATATTATTTGTTTTCGCTCATTGTTCTTGTTCACTGCGTGGCGGAGCTTCTTAGTTTTTTTTTAATAGATGTTGTATTTGCTACATTTATATTTGCCTGTATTAGCAAGCGGATAAAAATAGTTTT